GTGCGTCTGTGTATGTATGTGTTTGCGGCTGTGTATGCGTTTGTGTGTGCATGTGTTTGTAAGCGTGTTTACGTCTGTATGCATATGTGTTTATGTGTGTATGTATTTGTTTTTGTGTGTGTGTATTGTTGTGTGTTTGTGTATGTGTGTGTTTGTGTGTGTATGAGTTTGAGTGTGTGTATTGTGGTGCGTGTGGTGTCTATTTAAGAATCAGAGAAAGAAAGGGAGAAACATAGACAGATAGATAGATAGATAGATGGATATATATATTATATATATATATATATATATATGTATATATATATATATATATATATATATATATATATATATATATATATATATATATATATATATATAATATATAGAAATATAGATAATAGATGAAGAGAAAGATTATGTATATAAATATAATATGTATAAGATGAATATACATGTGTATATATAAAGATATAGATAGAGGAGGTAGATAAATAGATAGATAGATAGATTGACAGAGATGGAGAGAAAAAAAGAAGGATATATTTATACATCGATTTATAGATACATGTATAAATACTCTAAAGTTTAAACGTATGTGGTGTTTGTGTTTGTGTATGTGTTTGTGTGTGCGTATGCGTTTGTGTGTGTGTTATTTTATGTATGAGCAAATGTGTCTTTTGTGTCTGTCTGTGTACTTGTTTGTGTGTGTTGTGTTTGTGTTTGTTTGTGCGTATGTGTTTGTGTGTATGTGTGTGTTCGTGTGTGCATTTGTATGTGTTTGAATGTTAATGTGTTTGTGTGTGGGTTAGTATGTGTTCGTGTGTGCGTATTTATTTGTGTATGTGTTTGAGTGTATGAGTGTGTATGTAATTTATGTGTATTTATTTTTTGTGTATGGGTGTGTGTGTTTGTGTATATGTTTGTTTGTGAGTGTTTGTGTGTGTGTATAGGTGTGTATGTTTGTGTGTATGTGTTTGTGTGTGCTTTTTTGTTTGTGTGTGCGTGCATGTGCTTGTGTGTGTTTGTATGTGCGTGTTTTAGTGTGTATGTATTTATGTGTGGGCGTGTTTGTGTGTGTATGTGTTTGTGTGTGTATTTGTTTGTGTGTGCTTGTGTGTATGCATGGTTTTGTGTAATGTGTCTGTGCGAGTATATGATTGTGTGTGCATGTGTATGTTTTAGTGTATATGTATTTATGTGTGTGTGTTTGTGTGTGTGTATGCGTTTGTGTGTGTATGTGTGTGTTTGTGTGCGTATGTATTTGTATGTATTAGCATGTGTATGTGCGTATGTGTTTGTGTGTATATGTGTTTGTGTGTGTGGCGAATGTGTTTGTGTGTGTATGTGTTTGTGTATATGTATTTGTATATGTACATGTGTTAGTGTGTGCATGTTTTTGTGTGTGTATGTGTGTGTATATGTACATGTGTTTGTGTGTGCGCGTTTGTTTGGGTGTGTGTGTTTGTGTGTATGCATTTGTTTTTGTGAGTGTGTATGTGTGTTTGTGTGTATGCGTTTGTTTGTTTATGTGTATGTGTGTGTATTTGTAAGTGTATATGTTTGTGTGTGTGTTTGTGTGTATGGGTTTGTGTGTATACATGTGCGTTGTGTGTGTGTGTTCGTGTATGTGTGTTTATGTGTTTGCGTGTGCATGTGTTTGTGTGCGTATGTGTGTGTGTGTGTGTTTGTGTGTATACATGTGTTTGTGTGAGTGTGTGTGTAATTGTGTGTATGCGTTTGTGTGTGCATGTGTGTGTGTTTTCGTGTGTTTATGTGTTTGTATATGTCTGTGTGTGTTTGTGCGCCAATACGTTTGTGTATGTGTTTGCGTGTGAATATGTTTGTGTGTGTATTTGTATATATGTGTGTTTTCCTGTGTACATGTTTTTGTGTGTGTATGCGTTTGTCTTTGTAAGTGCTTGTCAGTGTGTATGTGTGTGTGTATGTGTTTGTGTGTGCGTATGTGTTTGTGTGTATGTGTGTTGTTTGTGTGTTTATGTGTTTGAGTGTGTATGATTGTGTGTGTTTGTGTGTATGTGCATATATGAATGTATGTGTCTGAGCGTGTGTACTTGTTTCCATGTATGTGTTTGTGTGTTTGCGTCTGTGTGTACTTGTTTCCGTGTATGTGTTTGTGTGTTTCTATACGTGTTTTTGCGTCTGTGTGTTTTGTGTCGTGTCTATGTGTATGTCATTTGCCTGTGATATGTGTGGCGATCCACGTCTGCCGGCGAGGGGTCGCCATCCACGAGGCGAACGTCATCCACAGCGACCTCAAGGCCGACAACATCATGGTGGACGAGCAGCTGGAGGCGTTGCTGGTCGACTTCGGCAACGCCGCCTTCAAGGGCGACGTTGCAGGCTACCTCTACACGAACGCCCGCTGGATCGCCCCCGAGCTGTGTCGCGACGGCCCGAGCACGGCCGCCTCCGACGCCTACTCGGTCGGGTTCCTGCTGCAGCAGATCTCCCGACACAAGCGCCGCGGGGAGAGGATGGGGGACATCGCTAAAAAGGTGCGGCGTCCCGCTACGTCGGAGAGAGCCGATCTGAAGGACATCCTGGCGGAGCTGACGGCTTGGGCGTCGTCCGGAGAGAAGGCCTGTGGCACCGGCACCTGGGTTCCTCGGACCCGGAAGATCCGCCGAGTAAACCGGAAATCCCACAAGACTTGGTAAACGCCATTGCCATCGGCTTCACGTCATTAATTTTGGAGGGCAG